TTGATGCAATATGTTAGATTGATGTGCATTTTTATATCTACTTTGTATTTCTGTATGTATTGAGGCCTATGGCTCTGAGCAGTAAACATTCTTACCACTCATTAAAAAGGGATTTTCAGACATGACTTATGGAATATTGTTAGTTTAATAATAATAATAACAATTTTTTATTTATACCCCACCCTTCCCGGTTCAGAAAACCGGGCTCAGGGCGGCTGACAACAAATTTAAAACACTTAATTGATGCAACAAAAAAACAGCATAAAATACAGTATAAAACATGAATAACAATAAATTCAGAATTCCAAAATCAGTTTAGGGGGGAAATCCATCCAATAAACATTAGATGATCACCAGGGCTAGCTGGCTAAATTAGTCCTATTTGGGCCAGTGTGGAGACCAGGGGAGAATTAGCTGTGGGATCCCAGAGCGGGTAATCTTCATAAAAAGGGGAGGGGGAGGGAAGGGGACTAAAAGATCAGGCTAAGTTCAAATTGAAAGCCAGGCGGAATAGCTCTATCTTACAGGCCCTGCAGAAGGAAGTTAAATCCTGCAGGGCCCTGGTCTCATGGAACACAGCATTCCACCAGGTCGGAGCCATCACTGAGAAGGCCCTGGCCCTGGTGGAGGATAATCCGACTTCCTTAGGGCCCGGAACCTCTAAAACTATGATTATTCATGGACCTTAGGGTCCTCTGCGGGGCATATCAGGAGAGACGGTCCCGTAAATACGAGGGCCCTAAGTAGGTAATCAGTGGCCTCCCAGTCTATATGATGCTCCTTTATTTTATTCCCTTAACAAAATTTATTTACCACCCGATTGTGGCAAAACCTCCAAGCTTTTTGCCATGCCTGTTACAGGATCTGATGTAGTACAGTCTCAAGTCCTTCCAGACAAAACAGACTAAGATGCATGGTCAGCGTAGACAGAAATTATTACAGCCTCACATTAGCCTGTTCCCTTTCGGCACAACCTCCCGTTAGTATCACACCGCTACCAGAACTGTTCTGCTCAAAGCAAGCTTGGAAGGTTGTTGTGTTCCATAAACGCAGGAACTCTAACTGCTGACTACTTGGTCTGCCTGCGAACCTGCAGGTAGATTACCGTATTTTTCGCTCTATAAGACACACCAGACCACAAGACGCACCTAGTTTTTGGAGGAGGAAAACAAGAAAAAAAATATTCTGAATCTCAGAAGCCAGAACAGCAAGAGGGATCGCTGCACAGTGAAAGCAGCAATCCCTCTTGCTGTTCTGGCTTCTGGGATAGCTGCGCAGCCTGCATTCGCTCCATACGACGCACACACATTTCCCCTTACTTTTTAGGAGGGAAAAAGTGAGTCTTATAGAGCAAGAAATACGGTATTCCTTGTCGAGCCTAACAGTGGGTGTTATGAATCATCCTGTGTCAGTTTTCTTTGGATGTCAATGGGGAGCAGACCTGTAACTGGGAGAGCTCTCACACTACATTTCCTACTGCAGAAGTACATATTAGGACGGGGAACCTGCGGGCATAAGTGGTCCGTGGCAACATACAGAATGTTCTGGGTGCTGTGGCCCTCAGTACCATCTGACCCTAGAGAAAGGAAGCCTCTTTATTTCCTTTAAAAAGAGCCAACAGTGTGACGCGGCAGCTAAAAAAGCCAATGCAATTCTGGGCTGCATCAATAGGAGCATAGCATCTAGATCAAGGGAAGTAATAGTGCCACTATATTCTGCTCTGGTCAGACCTCGCCTGGAGTACTGTGTCCAGTTCTGGGCACCACAGTTCAAGAAGGACACTGACAAACTGGAACGTGTCCAGAGGAGGGCAACCAAAATGGTCAAAGGCCTGGAAACGATGCCTTATGAGGAACGGCTAAGGGAGCTGGGCATGTTTAGCCTGGAGAAGAGGAGGTTAAGGGGTGATATGATAGCCATGTTCAAATATATAAAAGGATGTCATATAGAGGAGGGAGAAAGGTTGTTTTCTGCTGCTCCAGAGAAGCGGACACGGAGCAATGGATCCAAACTACAAGAAAGAAGATACCACCTAAACATTAGGAAGAACTTCCTGACAGTAAGAGCTGTTCGACAGTGGAATTTGCTGCCAAGGAGTGTGGTGGAGTCTCCTTCTTTGGAGGTCTTTAAGCAGAGGCTTGACAACCATATGTCAGGAGTGCTCTGATGGTGTTTCCTGCTTGGCAGGGGGTTGGACTCGATGGCCCTTGTGGTCTCTTCCAACTCTATGATTCTATGATTCTAAGAAAAAAAGCATAAGTTCTCCAGCTAACAAGGTTCTTCAGCTAACTGCACTTCCAGGAATGTGGGCTGGAGAAACAGGTAAGACTTCCGAAGAAGCCAGGAGGAGGAGAGACAGGCAGGAGTTCTTAGGCAGGAGCCTAGGGAGAAGATAAAAGGAAGACAGCTCAAAACCAGGACAAGGACTAAGGAGAGGAAAACAGGTCCCCCTTAGTCCTAGCCACTCAACACCCATTTTTCATGCTCTGCACATGTAGCATGAACACCTCCAGCTTCTGAAGGAATAGGGCACGCAGGAAGAGAAGATCAGGAAAGGCAGGAATGGGTGAAAGAGGGCCAAGGAAAGGAGGTGGTGGAAAGTGTGAGGCTGGCTGCTAGCTAGGGATGATGGGAGTTGTAGTCAAAAAACGGCTAAAAACCTAAGTTTGGGAAACCCTGATCTGAAGCAACGATGGGAGACCTTTTCCAAACCAAGGGTTACATTCCCCTCTGGGCAACTTCCCAAGGGGGGGTCATATACCTGCAGTGAGCAAGGCCAGAGGCAAAAGTGGGAGGAGCCATGAATGCAAATATTACCTTTTAATGGTAGCTTACGTTTCTATACATAGCAGGTAGAGTGAAAGTATGGCCAGCGAATTGTACGGCCCAGGGAGAAGGGACGAGAAGGTGTATCCTGGGGTGAGTCTCAAGGGCAAGATGGAGGCGGTTGGAAGGCCACATATAGTCTCTGGGCCTGAGGTTTTCCACCCCAGACCCAAAATATAACTTGTTTTCATGAGGAAAGACAGTTCCCTCCTGGTTCTTTAGTCTTCATTTTGCTATGAGATGTGGAACACCATTTCCTCACAGGTAAAACAAATACACTATAGACTTTTTAAAATGCAGACCCCTCTACTCTGCCATCCAAGTCTATTGAATCATGCAATATACACCTCCATTCCCCAAGCCATACTGGGCACAAACAGAGCTTTGCTTTCACATTTCACCCAGCTTGCTATACGAGAACCTAAAAACAAAAACAAAAAACTCAGTAGCTAGGCTTGCCTATATGTATAGCTAATAAGACATAATAAAAACTAAAAAAAAAAAAAGGAACAAACCATGGTCTTTTTTTTCTGGGCACTTGTTTCATTTCAAATAAATATAAACACATTTAACATTAAAAGTATGAACATTTTCTAGTCTGGAAAAATAAACTGTGATCAACACATCATCCATCAGTTACAAATGTCAAAATGCCTACTAGAAATTTGTGTCTTAAAGTGTACAATACAGCCAAAGAAGACTCTTTAATTACATAAAAGACTTTTGTGTGCACGTGTGATTAGAAAAGTTATTTGAATTTTCACTTGCATTATTAAAAAAATAATACATCTTCCCATTTAAGATACTGAAGCCTTTTGGTCCTCGTGGTATAGCTGGTTAGTTCTTTGTATTTTAAGAGTCTCAGTCTTCTTTCCGTACATCTTTCTCAGGCGAGGAACAGGGTCCATTTGACCTAGAAGCTTTGGCAGAAGGAGTAGATATTCATAATGCAGATGTTTAATAAGAAAGCTGATGTCAGCAGGCCTTTTTAATATATTGCAATTGCCTTACGTAGTTCCTGATGATTGGCTTTTTTTTTTTTTTACTTCGCCTGTTTTGGTTTTATCTGCTGTGTATAGCTTAAGCACAGTAATAGTAATTAGAAACAACAGCAACATGATGTAGTCCAGATGTTGCAGAATTTTAAAACCAGAAAATGCTCAAGATAAAAAAAATACAACTTATAAACACTAAAGTAAGGGGGGGGAATAATTCATTTTGGCAAACAACAAACATTTAGGTGCATTATAAATGTATAGCTGATTTTTCTCAAACATATCATTGCCTTGACAGCACAGGCAACACATTTCCAGGGATTCTTAACTGCGAAGTGCAAATAGCCAAGCAAGATTGTGCCAAATAATGAAAAAGGAAGGCAAATAATGTCTGCTTTACCGATAATCTCTTTGCTGCGGGTGGATATGTGCAATGACTGAGGCAAGCAAGATTTGGTCCTAAAACTCTCAAATTGCAAATGAAATTGTGGCTAATGTCTTTTAAAAGTGCCTTTTGTGTACTTAAGTGCTTAATACATCTCATGTAGAATTTAGAAGTTTTAATTTCCGTAGAAAGTGGTGATACTGGCAGTGCAGTGCTTGCAAACAACACAGAAACGAAACGGGAAAAAACAACCTGTGGCTTTATCTTTGGTTTGTATAACAAAGATATCTAAAAACGAAGACTAGATAACTATAGGTAATAAAAGTGAAGAGAGGTGGAGAGTTTCTTCCCATGATCTACAAATACTGTACTGGAAAAAAATGTCTTCATATTAGCAGTATACCCTAGCTAACACCGTGATATGTACACAACAGTTCCCCTGTTTACTTGTGCTGTCAAAAAGGAATAGGGCAGCTTTCGCTTTCTGCATACAATAGGAGGTAGAGACTTCCACAGGAGTCACGAGGACCTATGGAAAGCATAACAGCTGGAAGTAGCAGAACATTAACATGAATGCATTTCAATAAAAACCAGTTTTCTTAAAGGCTCTGTTTAACGGCAACTGTAAGCCTTCCGTTGCCTAACTGTACTCATTCCAGTCAAAAGTGAAGGTCAACTGTAATTCTGGGATTCATTGTCCTTTTTATTCTTTTTTTAATTTTTAACACCAACTTAGATCCAAATGCAACTGAGGAAAAGGGCATTGAATGCCGAAGTCAAAATGTTTCCGAATCAGAATCGTTTTCATTGTATCCATTTTCTGCTCCTACATCGTTACTTAAGGGTTTGCTATAGGAGTCAATGGCGCTGCTCGCATTGGAGCTATTGCAGAGGTGAGTCCTGCTCAAATTGTCTTTTTTAAAAGAAACGAAGTTGAGAGCCGTCATTGTACTGGAAGGAGAAAAAGGCATCATGGTAGCCAAAATGAGTGCCAGGCAGTCAGCCACGTCTTTGTTAGGAGCGCAAGCCAGGGCTGGCGTATGACCTGGGCACAAATGCAGACAAAGCAATGGTTAGTACTGGGGAACTACGAAAAGAAGACCTGAGCATTCCTCAGATACATCTCCAGATGGGTTTATAGGCTGGAGATGTATGTTTAGTCACAAATCACAGCAGGCAAGGCAGTGTTACACTTTAAAATTAGGCATGCTGGGGACGTACACAATTCACAAAGAGGTTTTAAGCTAATCTCATTACAAGCAATTTTATTTTTTTTAAAAGGAAAACAGCAGGCAACTTACAGCCTCCACGAAAATGAAATAAACACAGGTGAACCAACATTCCACGAGGACAATATAAATTGAAAGCAACTTTAATGCACCAAGACGTATTTAGCCTCAAATATCATGTGAGTAACTCTCATTCTGAGAACAATGACTTTCATTCCAAAGCAACTGCGTAATGATATTTGACTGTTTTAGAATCATAGAGGCATTTGTTTTTATGGGCAAATAATTTCACAAAGTAAGTCGTTTGAGAGGAATGGATGGATGATTAATTCTAGGCTATTTACACTGCTATTAAGCAAACAGTATTTTCATTAAGGAAGATTGCAAAACTTATTGAAATACACAGTAAATGTAACATAGGCCCTACTGAAATGAAATACATTGAACCCATTGCACAGAATCCAAATACTTAATCTCAACTAGAGCTGAGTAATTTTAAGCAAAATGTGATAAGAGCTGGATCTCTTTGTACTCAAGCAGATTATTATTGTGTTGTAAAGTGTAGAAACAATACAATAATAAACTGCTTATGTACATTGTGAACCAGGCTTTGGTATATGCTGATGAATTCTTCATGAAAATAATTCAACTTTCTAGTTTTTAAACCCTGTGACGCAATGGAGAGAGTTTTCTGCCAGCATGAAATGTCATCCCTTACAGTTCACGGTTATGTCTGGTGGGCTTTGGACGAGCATCATTTACATGACAAGAACGCTGCACAAGTTTTTAGGGAGCTTGACTGTGGTCCTCCTCCCCACATCAAGACCATATAAAGGTTTTTTAATTAAGCCAATGAATTTAAAATCCCAGGACCAATGGTACATGAACCTCCATAGATTGAGCAAGAATTATCCATTCATACAGGGCAACTATTGGTGCTCTACTTATCTTTTGGGAATGTTCTAAAAAAAAACATTTTTTTGAACACTTTCTGCTCTTAATTAATGAAATTACAAGATATTTATTACCAAAGGAACCTAGTGTTATATTTTTTGGTTATCTTAAGGCTCCAGTCAATGTCACCGACTTGGAAGTGGTTGTTAACCTACTTATAGCTGCTCAAATATGCACTGTGGCAAATTTGGGGGCCGGGGGGGGGCTGTTTTGTTCATTTTGGTCTGCTACAGGAAAGTATGGAATATGACAATATTATCTAAGCTAATTTATTACAGAAGATTGCCAAATGAGCATGGAATGAGTAAGTCTGTTGAGAAATGGATTCTGAGAAGTTTTGGAACAGCAAGCATCATGATAACGTTCGACCACAGTCTCCTTTTGCTTTACTACAAAAGACCCCTGCTTGACGGATTCCCTTTATTTTCTTCTTTATTAGTAGGCATACCATCTCATTCTGTGTATATCCATTTGTATCTGAATTAGTGTTCGTGTGTGAATATTATGCAGGTTCAATTTGTAAGAAAACTATGTTTGTTTTAAAAATATTTACAAAAATATTTGTATGAATATTGAATGAAGATGAGATTAAATTCCAAATTACTCTGTTATATGGCCTGAATTTGGCCTGCATTTAGTTACATCATTAATACTGGCCATCTCTAGGTGTTCAAGAATGGGATACAAAGAGTGACCTTAGGTGTGCTCAGAGACTTGCATGTGTCCAGTGAGCATTTAATATTTATAATTTTATACCAAAACCCTTACACCATACCTCAAAGGGTTTTGAAACTTCCTTCAACCTTAAAAGTGGTTTGCCATGCAGCACTGGAGGACTTTTGTATAAGAAACCTACATCCAAAACCACCGTGAGCGTGTAGAGTTTATCACAGGGCATTTTGGATCCTGCTCAAGGCGTTTTCAGTATCAGATCGCCATCCATCCAGCAATTTGCTTCAGTGCAAAAAGTGATTGGCTGTACAGAATTCAGTTTGACATAATATTACTGAGAGATGGAACTCAAAAGAGGCTTTCAATGAATGGCAGTGCTATTTGAATACTTAAAATCACGTAATATTTTCTGCATCTACGTCCACAGGGTGGCAGTAACTTTCTTTGCATACCACATGTGGTCAGAACTGGAGATAGTATGATCTCAGAATGAATAAGGAAACAGTTAAACTGCTGGATCTCTCCGCTCTCCTGAGCATGCTTTGATTAGGCATTTAAAACACAGCACTCTTCAGTCAAAGAAGTTTAAAATTTTTGATGCCTTTTGTGCAACTAGAAGATTCTAATTCTTACTGCGTTAAAGAATGACTGGTGGCCGTCAGTGAGGGCAAAATGAAGCAAAAAAGGAAAATAAGCTATTGTGTTTTATCTACGCTAAAGAAAAATGTGCTTTGGTGATGATCAAAATAACTGTTTAACGAAGTCATACTGAACATCTTATTACAATCAGCATTGTCTAACCTACTGGTGTGTTTTTTTAGAAACACACAGGTGTTGAATATTGATGGATAGTTATTCTTCATGAGTGTTTTCACTTACCATTTTCATCTACGGCTCGTACACATGCCCCTTTCGCTAGCAACTCCTCAACTACCATCTTCAAGCCATTCTGTGCAGCAATATGAAGAGGTCTAGAAAACACAACATCTAGATTCAAGTAGGCTTGATGCATTTCAAAAGGTCTGTTGGGATATTATGCAGAGCACACTCACGTGCTTAAAGTATAGGATACTAGAAGTTATTTTCTGGACAATTTCAACATGTACTTATCATAGAATCTTAGAGTTGGAAGGGACCCGAGGGTCATCTACTCTAACCCCCTGCAATGCAGAAATCTCAGCTAAAGCACCCATGACAGATGGCCATCCAACCTCTGCTTAAAAACATCCCAAAAACAAAACCCAAACATGAACGCCATATTTATAGAATGCAAAAATTAAGTAGACTTTTAAGAACACTAAATGCCAGTTTGGGTCAACAAAAAATAAAATTTCATTAGGTTATACTTACGTTTGTAATGCATTATTTTTTGCATTGATAAGGCTCTGTTCTTGTATCTTGTCAAGTATCAACAAGGCACATTTTTCATGTCCCTGGAATACATAAATGCATTTATGTTCTTCTCGCTTTAGGAAATGATGAGAATCTGACAGTATTTAATTAAGCCATGACTCAGTATTCACAGCCCCCTTTTATGCTATCACAGGTTAGCTTTCTGTAATCTGATCCAGGCCAATTTTTAAGGAATGCTATCAGATATGAGCAGACGAGGAGTGAATTGCATAGGAAAACTCGGGAAATTTATTAGAATGAGAGCAAGAACACCTGGTGGATCTTTTATCTGCAAGTGTGTGTAATCTCTGAGCAGTGCTAACCTCAGATTAGCACATATGCTAACCACAAGCCTGCTGTTCACTCCCCAACCAAAGTCATGGAACCATATTTTGGGGACATGGTCAAGTTGCAACCATTTTATGTTCCCCCCCCCGGCAAAAAACTGTGCCACCAGCTTGACGAGGCGACAGAGCTGCCCTCAGCACCCCAGGGGATTGCCCCCTAATTTGCAACAGTGTCAGGGGGACAATGCTACCTCCAGTTTCATTCCCATTGTTTTTTTCCATCGCAAAGTAGGAAGAAAGCCGCTGGGCTGCTGATACTAGCTCTGCCACTGTGTCAAGTTGCAGCAAAGCTTTTATCCAAGAATAAATCTGAGAAAGAAAGCACCATATTTTTCGCTCTATAAGACGCACCAGACCACAAGACGCACCTAGTTTTTGGAGGAGGAAAACAAGAAAAAAAATATTCTGAATCTCAGAAGCCAGAACAGCGAGAGGGATCGCTGCGCAGTGAAAGCAGCAATCCCTCTTGCTGTTCTGGCTTCTGGGATAGCTGCGCAGCCTGCATTCGCTCCATAAGACGCACAAACATTTCCCCTTACTTTTTAGAAGGGAAAATGTGAGTCTTATAGAGCAAAAAATACGGTACCGTAGATTCCGGCGTATTAGGCGACTGGGTGTATAAGACGACCCACGACTTTTGCTGTTCCGTTTTAGAGTTTTAGAGTTTGAGCGCCGCCAGGGGCAGAGCGCGCACCCCTCTGCCGTTGCAGCAGCAGCCCGAGGCGAGGAGCCCCGCACTCGGAGCACCGCACTCGGAAGGACTTTCCGCGTCCCCTTCTGTGGGGAGGGAGGAGGAGCGACGGCAGAAGGAGCGTGTGTGTATATATATATATATCTGCTTTCGTAGATTTTCACGGGTACAGGAATGCAGGTTTTGGTGTCCTCGGGTGTCTTCCCGTGTAAAAGTTGGGGTGTCTAGGCGACGTTTCGACGAGGTCTCACTCGTCATCTTCAGGCTGGTGCTTTCGGCTTCTTGTTACTGGAACAGAGCAGGATCTCAGTGTTTGAGTTCCTATAAATACTGTTGAGGGGGTGTGGTGTATAGCCTCCAATGTTCTGGGCAGAGAGGAAGTTCCCAGGCTAGTGTGCCTTTTCTTCTTTTGTTCCTTAATTACTTGAGGGATATCTTGAGTGATTTCTTGAGTGATATCCTGAGTACCACTTAGGTGGGTCATTAGGTGTGGATTAGTTGCTAAAGCCTTCGTGTCTTGACCTCTTGAACTTTGTGAAGAGTTTTTCTGAGAAGATGGCTGTACTGCACTTAGTTGTGCTCTGGCTTGGCTTCGTGTATAGGGGCGAGCTGTGGTTTTGTGTCCTGTGCCAGCCAGATCTGTGTAGGGATTGCAGGGGGGTGCAGCATCCGGAGGTGCCACCATGGTTTGGCTACTGGATGGTGTCTATATATATATATATATCCGGCGTATAAGACGACCCCCCGACTTTTGGGGTGATTTTCCAGGGATAAAAAGTCGTCTTGTACGCCAGAACATACGGTAAATACCCTCTGCCACTCCATATACAATGGTGAGCCCCAATATACTGAAAAAAATAAATAGGAGTATATTTTATCCAACCTGTAATGATTATTCCACTTTCAGCCTACTCCCCAAAATGAAAAAAACAACAACTATGAGCAGAATCCTTCAGCCCAGTTTATTCTCTGCCCTTTGGTGTTGCCACTAGCAAATAGCAAAAGCCAACAATAAAATACAATTTCCTCTTCAGTTTATCTCATAATGCACCAAAAATAAAGGGTAATGATTTTGGAGCAGTGTTGTTTTAGGCTTATTTGTTTGCACTTATCCATCACCCTCCTTCGTAAGACAGTACTAGTTTTCAAAATTATTCCTAGTGTTCAGAAGATATACTGGCTAAGTTTAGCATTCACTTGGTTCACAGAGATTTACGAAAAGTGTTAGGAAGAAAGAAACTAACTACACAATCAGTGGGGTACACCCCCTTGTTTTTATGGTGTTGGGTTGTTTTAAAATTGTTTTTCATGTTGTAACCCACTCTAGGCCTTATGATGAAGGGCAGGCAACAAACAAGAAACTACTTTTTATCATGTCTCCATTGCACACGCAGCCCAATTCACGTGGTAAATCTGGGTTTGCGCAAGGATTTCCATATGTGCAATGCAACTTCCACTCCATCTCCTCTCCCCTCCCCACCTGTCACCCCAAAATTTGCTCTGGACAGTCGGGGAGGGGGAATTCAGGGTGGGGGTGCACAGGGAGAGAAGAAAGAGGGGAAGTTTGTAATCAAAAGTCCATGCGTGAACAGGATGACTTTACTGAGTACCAAGTGCCTCTGATCATAGCTGTCAAATTACAGATTTGAAAATAAGGGACCAGCAGCTTCAAAAATAAGGGATCAGCAGCCAAAATAAGGGATTTTCAGAGCACAGGTAGGTTCAACTTCTGAGCCCCTCCGAGCCAAAGGCAGAAAGCCCAGCCAGCAGCCAAACGAAGCCTCAAGCGGTGGTTCCCACAGCGCAGCAACCCAGCAAAGGGGATGCAGCAAGGAAAACCACCATCACCTCTCCTCTGGGAAGCGCTGAGCAACGCGGCTGATTTGATTGGCACAAGGGCTGCAAGCTCCACCCCCCAGTCGTTCTTATAGACTCCTTATTGGGTGAGCAACACAGCCAAGCAACACAGTTGGAGCCTCCCTCCTCCCTGGTCAACAGGGAGGGAGGGAGAGGAGCTGCTTCCTTTGAAACCCGGGAAATTTAAGGGATATCATCAATAAGGGACAGCAGCGGGACACAGTGCTTGGGATAAGGGACTTTCCCGCCAAATAAGGGACGGTTGACAGCTATGCCTCTGATACAAGTATCATTATTTTGTTACACTTTTAACAATGTCTTCTACACACATGCACACACACAAACACACACAAATGCTTCTAAACATACTTTACTGCTAGCCAAGTGCAAGGATGTATTCGAGTTCTTATCTTTCAAAGTTAGATCAGCCTTCGCGCTGTTCACCAAAAAATCTAAGATACAGAAAGAAAACAGACCACACAATTACTCTCAGGCAGTTAAATTACCTTCAATCTCTGTTCACAGAATATCCCATTTCCTAGTGTGCTCCTTGCATTTCCTAAAACTAACGAGACTCTAGTCCTGTACACCCTAATGAAAGTCTTGGCAAAGTAGC